CCCCCCCCGCGCCACGAAATCTGCACTTCTCACACCATTCCCTGCACCTGCCACGAAATGCTTTCTTTTAAAGGCTCCTCCGAAATACCCCGAAGGTTCCCACGAGTAGACTTTAGGCTGAAAGATTTCTGAACCTAACGGGTGCTCAATTTTATGAAAAGATTAGGGTGGTCCAAATCAATCAAAAAAGTGATGCTTATGGGCTCTTCCCAGGGATGCCTGGGGACTGTCCACTGGGTCGAGGCTAGGCCAGCCTTAGGGCCCTATCATATCATGTGGGGCAATAAGGTTCTACCGGCGTATACCAGCTTGCAAAGATCCTTTTCTCGAGAGACGGCTGGGCTCCCACTGCTTTGCAGTGGCGGTTCCTCGCAACCTCAGCCGTGAGCGAAATGCAACTGGGAACTAGACTGTGAACATAGTGGTGAACGTGTGAAAACGTCGGGAAGGAGGACCTGAGGTGGGTCAAAAGTCAGTGAAATCAGTCATCCAACAAAAGCTTGAAGCAATGTGAAGGCTGTGCAGCAACTCTCTGCCTCTGAGAAAAAAACGTTTTTTTTTCTGCTTCCGCCGCCGGATCTATGCCGGTCTCTTTCCTCATTGACTCATGGTTGAGTCCACAGTGGCATTGCCCTCATCCACACGTGTTAGAGAAAAGAGTGAGGGACCAAGTGTTCAAGGAAGCGGTGGAAACCGAGAGACTCAAACTTGGTGACTCAGTGATGGTGAAGGTGAACACCAAGATATACAGATATACATACAAAGTTAAGTTTTTGTTGGTATCACTTGTTGTTGTTGTTGTGTTGTTGTGGTTGGTCGGTTGTTTGGTTTGTTGTTGTTGTTGCTGTTGATGTTGTTCTTTTTTCTTCTACTTCTTCATTGTCATCGCTCCCCTGACACAAACGAAGCCGCTTCACTGCAAGGTTTGTTGCCTGCGCTGCATCACTTCGGTTACATACACAGAACAAACCAGCAAACCAACCAGCACTGATACCCTACGGCCCGACGGCCACTATCCCTGCAAGGTGTCCCCGGTGTGACAAAGTCACCTAATTATCTCCGCTCACCGCTCACCTGTCAAAGAGTCAAAGCCACGTGACCAAGCGCAGCAGCAATCAGCTCATCATGTCACTTGACCAAATGAGCGGCCTCGCGAGGGGCTTTGAGATTCAATGTCAAAGCACCGCCACCGCCACCTGCCGAGACATCACCCTTCATGGATTCGATGCGGCCCGCACAGCCACGCAAAACACGTCGTCCACGTGCTGGTGCTTCTCCTTCAGCTGCATCTCCTTCAATGGTCTCCTCAGTTGGCTTCTCAGCTTGGTCGGAGTCTTCTCTTCCTCGCTTGCGTGTCTGATTCTTGAACTTCTCACCAGGCCTAGTTGGCGCAGAGCATACATCACTTTCAGTGACTTGACTTGACGTGTTCAAAGCCAACGGTACCAGAGACAAAACAATATTGCGCTACATAACATACAAAAAACAATGTTGATAAATGAACCAAGCGAGTGTCACAATGCTTCGTTCCAAAATAGCATACTTCTTGCCATCGACTTCACATACACGCGCCATAGTCACAAAACCGTCTGCGTCCATGGGGCATCTGAGTGTCCCAACTCCAAGAGTAAGTTCATGGCCACGCCGCTGGAACTTGATGTCCTTTGTTTGCCACTTCAGTGGAGCTCCCCGCTTTTCCTCTGCTATCAATGGAACCATCCAAGCGGCTGCCGGTGCTGCGCATTCAAGAGTGCTGAAGGCGCTTCCATCCACACCAAGATCGATACCGCCTAGGAGCACAATAAATGTTTCATGTCACATCATATTACACATGTGTGTTATGTCTTGTCAATGAGTCTGAGGATTTTATGATGATCAATGATCAATGCATATGGTACAGCTCACACATAATGAAAATGAAATCAAATGTAAACATGTAATCAACAAATCAACGAATCGACTCGAATCGACCGGCCCTAGAATCAATATCAATAACAACTTAATAACAACAAATGAATAACATCAACCAACATTACAGCACACAGCACACAGACACAAAAATCATTTTGTCTTGTGACAAGACGCCAAACGGCTTTTCCCCCAAACAGACAGAAAGCGGAAGACACGTTGCTGGTTTGCCAGGCCCACGCTGAACTTGTGCTTTGGAACGCGCTGTTGTTGTGTGCGAAGGACCCTGAGTGAACTCACCTAAGTTGTTTTGTCTATGGGCCAGGTCATGAGTCATTAGGTACAATCGTCCAATTGTTTGGGCCTTTGTGGGCCATGAGCCAATGAATCAACACCAACAACACAAATAACATGTTTTCAAAATCATCAAACAAAGTGGCAAACAGCACCAAAGAAAACCAGCTCAAAGTCCTTGGGCAGATGAACATACTCGTCCGGCGATGATGGTGACTTATATGTACGATCAGTGGCTTCCAACTCCCATAGCAATGTAAATGGCAATGACGTTGATGAAGACTTGGCCCGTGATGATGTTGATGTATCCGGCGGTGGTTGCGGAATGTGCAAGCGAAGCCGTTCTCGAAAACTATTCTCCGTCTGGCCAGCGTGCTTCAACAGGTGTGCTTGAATGTTGAGCTGAAGTTCAAGCATCAGTTCAGATGAAGAAACATCAGGCGAGCATCCAAATGACAACAAAGAGTTCCAAGAGAAGAGGTCATTGGCTGGCTGACTATCATCGGCTCCCTTTGGGTTGCTATCATCACCGCTCTTAGCTACAGCATCTCCCAAAATCTTCTTGCAACCAGCGTTTGATGGTTTAGCTCCAATGGATTGAAGAACAACTTTGCTGTCACATGAGCCATGTGACGCCAAGTCTGACAAGGCAGTGCTCCAACCTGCATGCATGGTCTCAAATGAAATGAAGCAGGCATCCAACGCAGCAAGCTGGGTAAGGACCTCATCCTGGTTGAAAAGCGGGAACAGTGATGACAAGTTTGAAGCCGTGCTGGAAGTCAACGATATCAAAAGCTGGCACATGTACATTGCCCGCATTTGCATCAAGACATCAACGTCTTCAGCCTTTAGATTGAGGCGTGTCACTTCTGTTGGAGAATTTTTTGGCAATGCCCATCCTGGCATGATTAGGACAGGATATTTATTATTGATTCAATTTCAAAAATTCAACCTATTTCTATTTCACTAAATGTATAAATTGTTACTAAAGAATGAATAAACCGGGTCGGTCAAAAGAATACACACAATCACCTTTGTTCAACCCATGTCACATGTCCTGAAACAGTCTCTTCAGCCAAAAGGTTGGCAAATGCAATGAACTGGTCGTTGAACACCTCATGCACTTGCTTCGCAACCTCAAACATCACATCGGTCAAGACCACCTTGTCCGCATGGATTGAACATGTGCTCGTCTCACCATCCTTTTCAACACCCGAGTTGCCACTGGCACCACGTCGACAAGTGCAACTGGAGTAGAGCACACTGGCCTTGATCTTTCCAAAGGAGGCATGGAGAGAGACTTTCAGCGGATTGTCTGAACGAAGAGGGCTCTGTGCTTCACCAGAAAGCCACTGCTCAACTGCAGGCGCCCATTGTTTCAACTTATCGTTGACATTGAGCTTGTTGGCCGTGTTGGTCTCCTGATGCATGCTGACAGCTGCTTCCAGGTTTTGAAGACCAGCGCAAGCGCCACCTGCTGCGTCCGCGTGCATGGCTGCTTCCAGAGAACCTCTCATGTCCTGGCCGCCGCTGCACACAAAACAACAACACAAAAAGAACATCGGATCAACCAGCCAACATGTCATGTGTCTCAACAATTACTGTAGACTGTAGCCCCTCAACAACCACTCAACCCCTCAAGTTTCAACCCCTACCTGGACCACTTGCCACAAAGCGTACTCTTTCAACGCTGCCCGTAGTCCCGACCACTTCTTGTGCGCCTTGCAGCCTCGGGCTGTTGAAACTTTCACTGTGCCAGTGAAGCAAAACAAGAGGCCCAGGCGAAGCATCCGAGACCGGAGGGAATCGAAATCAAATGAGTCAGCATCGCCCCTCAGCAGCTTCTTCAAACTGTCCACGCTGTGTCGGATACACTGCAGCAAATCATCGATCCAAAGTTTGCTTCGCACTCCAACTTCACATTTGATGGTCGTGGCGGTGAGGTCTTTCTCCTCTGGCATCTGGATGCTGGCCAGCACTGAACCAGCATTTGCAGAGCCGCCACCTGCACCTGCCTTGGCCTTCGCCTTGGCTCGCTTCTTGGGCTGCTGGTTCTCCTTGCCACTCCTCTTGGTACCAGTGCTGGGGCCAGAACCAAATGTCACCACACTGCCATTCATAATCGTCCACATGCGACTAAAGAGATGTTTCTTCGACACCGTGTCAAAGACCCATGATTCCTCAACGTTGTCTTCAAGCAAAGGTACCTGAGACAGAGACCAACTGCACTCAATACAAAAAATATGTAAATTCCCGGTGGGTGGCGGGTGGTGTTGAGGCAGCATCGACAAATCGACAATGATAAAACAAAAGTAAATAGTCAACCAACATTAAATTATCCATGTCCATGTCTACATTGTTGAAACAAAAAGCAAAGTAGCAAATGACTTGAGCATTAAATTAGGCACGCAGAACTTTGACAATTCCACAATGAGAAGCTTGACTTCATGGTCGGATACACCATCCCATAGGCTCGTCGTGACAGTCGAGATCATGAACTGAATGTTCTGGAGGATCACTGAATTGTTGAGCCTGGGATGTAAAAAATCTGTTTGCTCTGACATCACCTTCGCAAACATTCCAACAGTGTCCAGATTCGTGGAATTTGTCTTCATGAGGTCCCATCGTTTGGATAGCGCATTGTACACTGCCCTCGCAGACTCGTATGATCGCCAGTCTGTAAACACCTCGTTGAATTCCTGATGTTGACGGATGAAGTCAGCACCTTAGTGACTTAATGAATGACTGTGATAGTCCAAACTTGAACTTGGAGTCTGACAGCCTGACAGGTGACAAAAGACCATGCCCTACAACAAAGATCTGACAAAATATGGCATATAAATTTGACAAAGCCACACTTTGATTCATATCCCTTGGTGCTCCAAGTAATGCCTTGATCCTTCTTCCAGATCTGCAAAGCGTTGTCAACCTGTGATGATCAGTGATGAACAGAACGGGAATCTGAATCAGTTTGATATCATAATCATAAACTAACGAATCAACAAACCAACTTAAACTAACTGATCACAGATCACATGCTGTGATCAAAGCCAAAACCATATGGCCCATATGGTCACTAGACTGTTCCGATTGCACTTGGCTTTGATTTTTGGAATCAGACAAGCTCTCAGTCTAACGACCAAAAAATATGCTGCGCAAAAGTTGATAAAACACCAAGGCAAATGGCATCAGGCACGATCCACAGCATTTCCAAAAAGCTTGTTGCAGATCCTGTATGAAATCTGTTGTGATAAGCAACAAGGAACTTTAAGACTGCGATGGGCGTGGCATGGTGCAGCAACCGGCTCTCTAGTCCTCGTGTCAAAGAAAGTCTCAAGTTGTCATTCTCTGGATCCTCCAATAGTGCTTGATAAAAAGATTCTGTGAGAGATCCGAATGACAGTGCCAAAAAGGGACCCTTCTTCTCGCCTAAGACATCTGGTGTCGGAGTGACGAGCCAGGGTTCTCCACGCACACCCTCGACTATGCCTTTGTGTTTGCAAGATGCAACGTAGGTTGCCTTGACACCACTTTGCTGACGGCAGTTGCATGGGTGGCGTCCTATGTTCCGCACGCGCTGAGCATAGGGAACTTGATTTTGTCCCACTTCGTTGCAATCAGCAAAGAATTTGATTCGCTGCTTGTCGCCGACCTTGTTTTTGTCGTCGTCGTCTACCACACGGTCTAAGTCTAAGACTCTTAGACTTAGACCGTGTGGTAGACTGTAAGTCTGTCTCATGCCAGACACTTAAAAATAAAGTAACGAAATAAACAAAGCAAATGATATTGATAATTGATTAATACTAATTTGTGATTTGTACAGTACAGTCCAGCAAGTAAGAAAACAAACAATAACAAAAACTAACAATGAGCAAAGTAACTTGGTAAGTGTTCCAAATAGCCTCCAAAAGCGATCGCCCATTCATGTCCCCGAACAACTCGGAAATCGAAGCGTCACTCCGGTACACGTCAACTCCTTTTTTGGATTTTGGCACTTCAGCCGCCATTCCAAAGACAAGCCCTGGCCCTGACTTGAAGGTCCTTTCCAAGAAGCGATGACCGGCTGACAGGTGTAGCCGGAAAGTCACAAGTTCGAGGGTATGGCAGTCACCAATCGCGGAGCTGATCAGTGCCAGTGGTTAGCTGGTTTTTTTTTGCTCAAGGTGTTATATAAAACATTTGACGATGACTTCAGACTTGCAACACTTGGAAACAAATTGCAGCAAAGTCAATCTATGGTTCCATGACAATGAACTAACATGTGTTTGTTATTGGGGGAGTCTTGACAATACAATGTTGACACAGTGACAATCTTGTCTTGTAAAGCATATAGTACAGCACTGCATGACACAACATAATGTTGAGCCTCTCTTTCTGCAAAATAAATTTGCAAGTTTGCAAGTAGTGTTCACTGGACTGCTCAAGATGATCTCAAGATGACTCAAGATGAAACGATACAGTTGAGTTGACATGACATGCTTAATGTCTGACTCCGATTCAAGCGATGAACGTTCTAGCCCAACCGCCACACCACTACCACCCCAAAAGCCCAAAAGTTGTCAGCTTTACTATGCTGGGCACAGGCACAGTGAGAAAAGACTCAGTCAGTCGAAACTTAGGGCGCCGCGCACTCATGGCGCTTCGAGATGTCAAATTATTTGTGGTCACGGCCTCAGGCCAGCCGGAAAGCCGTTCGACCGATGTGGAATCGCGGAAGTAGGCGGAAGTAGGGGCGAAGTGAGGGAGGGAGAAACGCTGACGCCGACGATGTGTAGTACGAATCCATTGGTCCATTGGATAGAATGCTAGACAGTGTGTCAGTCTGTGTCAGTCAGTGAGTCTATGAGAAACAAACACTTGAATCTGAATTGACCATGGATTGGTCAGTTGAATCACTCAAGGCACGCTGAGTCACACTCCATTGCATCGCAATCATTTGCAGTGATTGCATATGTTACTTTTTCACTGTTTTCCCATGATGTTGCAGCAGTCGGGGCAATCTTTAGCCCAGCCCAGCCATGGACGAATTGAAATTGAATGCGCCGGCGTAGAAGTAGAAGTAGACTCTCTTTGTGACTCGGGACTCATGGCCTTATGACCTTATGCAATTTAAGTTAGTCCTTTTATTCCAAACAAATAGTTTATTGTCATTGTTTCGTTTGGTCATGTATCAGTATATCAATGACATCAACAAAGCCTACGCCGACTGCGTGTCTCACTGCTAGCTTCGTTTGAATCCTCAGCGTTGCCGGCGTTGCCCATGGTGTATTCCACACACAGAGCCAACTGGCGTTTCAACCAAGACCTCTGTAAACGAAGCATTCCGACATCCATGATAGTTTGCGATATTGCAAACAACAACATAGCACCAGCGCAGGACACATGCATTGCATTGCCCGCTTGAGAGATTGTCGTTTGACGACCGGGCCAGGCTGCATATGGAAGGTTGTGTTCTTTCTGCCATGCCCGCAAATCAAATGAGTTTGTTGGTACTGAGCCCGGTGTAAGCTTGGTTGAGACTGGTAGACCCTGCAAAGTTAGTATCTCTTTCTTTGTCAGCCACCTGCGAAAAGAATGGCTCATGATCAGCGTTGAAGTCGCTGTCAAGGTCATCATTGCCTGATGGTGGCAACGGAGGCAGTGACAGTCCGACAGCAAGATGATCGGATGGTCCGATGACTCGATGACGATATGACGGCGACAACAAAAGTAATTACAAATTACAAACTCAATCAAGTCAAAGAAGATCCAATCATTCCAATGAGTCCAATGAGTTTATTTCTTAAAAGTCCAACAACACCGACAACCAGACATGATTGTTTCTGTAGTTTAGTATTCCCTATCGTTTTTGAATCATCCTAGCCTGACACCACACACCTCATCGGAATTGGAATCGACATGAATCACGTCGAATCGACCAAATTAGGTAGATTCAGAAACAATAGAAACAATAACAATAGACAAGAAACTATCAACTATAACAATAACAGACTATAACTATAGACTATAGACTATAATCTATGATTCCAGCCTGTCCCCGAGTGAGGGTAGCGCGACAAGTTGGATTCTGATTCATGGCATACACTGCGTTGGGGTAAGATCTGGTATATTCAGCGTATGCATCAAGCTCCCATTGACTGAAACATCGTTCAAATGCATCTGGCATAGAGACATCTGGCACTTCAGAAAGATCTCCAGCTGAGTTCCACAAGCTACCCGGCCGTGAGCAGGCCCACTTGAGCTCAGCATTGAGTTCATCCTGATCTGTCCTTGGCCGCCGCTGGCTAAAGTCTGAGAGGCAGGAGGTCGGGAGTCGGGAGGACTTATGACTAAGGACTCCAAGGACCATGATTGATAATCCTAATTGAGTCTGAGTCTGAGTCAAAAGTCTCAAAAGTCATAAAGAAACGAAGTGAGTTGTATTTGCATCAATTTGCTTACAGCGAGTGACTCCCAAAAGAACATGCTCCAATCGACGTTGGCGTTGCATGCTCGGAAGAAGTGCTTCAGAAACTCATCCAACGCTGACCGGAAGCCCATCGTCTTGCCCTTGTGTCTACCCCTCAGTTTTTAAGTTGCTCGTGGTTGAATATTGAACTCTTTGTGAAAACAAAATCTCCTATGTCATATGTCTTTCTATATATTGTTTTATAAATCTATATGTCACAGTCACAGTCCACAGTCACATAAGATATATCAAAAGATATTCAAACATACCAACCAATTCACTTTGTTCAAAACCATTGTTGTTGCTAAGGGTTGCTCAAGGCACACACACCATTGTCGGGGACGTCTCACCGGCCAACCAAATTGTTGTGGGTCCAGAACTATGCACTGCCAGTTGTATTGAGGTAGTACTTGATCAAATACCTCTCGTGGAAACTTGTCAGTACACTCTTGGATAATCAGTGGCTCTTCGAGTTTCCTTCGAAGCCCAGCCCACGCAAGAAAATGCGCATGTGATAGAGCTGCTTCTCCATCCTGCAACCCTGCAGGACTCCAGGCTGTGCATGGAGTGCCGGCGCAATGCAGAAAGGCACACTGATTCTCGATTGTACATATCTTTTTGTGTATGTGGCAGTAAGCACTCCTCAGATTAGGACTTTGGTGGACTTTGGTGTTTTTGATCGACTTGATCAACATAACTAAACAATCGGGGTTGGTGACCTTGGCTTTTACTGCCTTTACTTTACTACATTACTGAAAAGATTAAAACTAAATATTTTTCACAAATTAAGAGTCATTTGTATTCCATGTCCGTTCATCACCAGCGGCATCAGTTTTGTCTCGAATAGATTGCCCGTGTGGAGATTAGGTAGTATAGCTTTCACCGCTGGAGTAAAGAAGTCGGCAATATCTCCAAACATGCACTGTGGAGGGTGTGGATGATGTTCACATTCAAAGCGGCTGTGATGGTTCCATTCCTTTACTGAACTCCAAAGCCAAAGATCTAGCATTGGAAGCTGACATGTGTTCAACCTATTTCCTATTTCTGATGTAGAAACACAAAACTAATCAATGTGATCAACAGAATCAACATCTTCTTCTGACATCAAGACACAATACCATGAAGGTGTTGTGGATGATGTGTGCTATCGACACCATCGACACCATCGACCCCGTGATCCACGAGAAACTGGGCCAACGCCGCTCGAAGCTGAGCAAATGCAGTCCCTGGAGTATCAACGCCTGAGAAGGCCGTCGAATACGTCGCTATTTGCATTCGATGATGCAATGCCATCAGTTGGCTGATACCGTCACTCGATTCATGGTCGTCATACAATTCCTGGGGCAAGCTCAAGAACATCTCGATAAAGTCTGATGGCCATCCTGAGATGTTTTGTTGCCAGACTTAGAGTCCCAATTTATGGAGCCTATATGATGATCATTATGACCGCTAACTATGAAAACAAAAAAACAAACCACTCAACACCTAACAGCCTAACATAACATTACATAGATCAGAGTTTCTGTTGGCATCTTCAAACGACTTAACCGCATAGTGATTTGCCGCATCATAATTCATATGATCACTAGACGGTTGAGGTTGGCCATCATCGTTAGCATCAGCGTCCGGCGTCACTCCTGTGGCATTCCAAGGTGGCCCATCGGCTTCAATGGCAGCCTGAGGAGCCTGAGGAGGCAATCCGACTTGGACAATTTGAACAATGTGAAGTCGTGAAATTGCGAAGTCTGGAAGCTCTGGAAGCCCGGAAGCCCTACAAAACAGTTAGTTAAGTTGTGCTGTGATCTCGAACTACTCATATCGATTAGACAAACTAACCACAAAACAAAATCAATAAAGGTGATCTATTCTACAAGTAGAACAAGCAAAGAAACTTCACATGTGATGTCAGCCTCAACCTCAACCTCTGGAAGTTCTTGAGCTGCTTGAATATTGTGTTCTTGCTGCGAAGTCTCAACCGTCTCCACTGTGTCAACAATTGGTGAAGTAGCATTGCGGTCATCTTGAACATGCTCGTGTTGATGTGGCATTGTTTCATGAGTTTCATGAACCTCCGCTGATGAACCTGGAGAACCAAATGATTGGTTTGTTTCCAACGGAATCGCTGGTGATGGTTCAGTCGGCTGAACATCTTCAATAGGTTCAACACACTCTTGGGGCTCCTCTTGGGATTCCTGGGGTTCGCAATCTGTGGCTTCCCCGACTGCTTCGACATCTTCATCCACATCCAAGCGCTCACCTTCGGGACAGCTGGATAGAGCTGACTGAACCAATTGTGTTGATGGTTCTTCAATTGGCTCTGGTGGCTCTGGTGTAGCAGCATTACTGGGTTGTGATTGTGAGCCCTTAGATCCACCAAAGAAGTGGACAACATCAGCTGGTGAAGTTCCTTGCGCTGAAACATTCTTCAGGTTTGCACGTCCATAGCCATTCCGTAGCCTCACATTACTCAATTCATACCGATACTGCCCCTTGGATTTGTAGTCTTCCAAAACCAATGCAAATATTTTTGAAGACTCGTCGGTGTTCACAAACTCACGAATTGCCGGAGTATCTTTGAAGTGTTTCCGAACACTCGCAGGAGCAACATTGAAGTGATCATGTTTTCCATCGTGTAATACTAAAAGAGTGTGAGAAGCTGCGTATCCAACTGCGACATACTGCTTGTCACGTTTGATGAGAATGACTGGCGAACCATCATAGGCCAACGGTGGTTTGAGAGTCCTCGCAAATAACATTATTTATTATTTATGTTGTTCTTTATAGTTGCAAGTTGAACGTTAAACTAAAGCTAATTTTCAAAACATATATATATATCTTCAAAGCACACTAAAGGTCCTGTAGAGCACAACTGATGTGGCAGCTGCGGTCTGAAGTATGTCGTCATAGTCGGTGGCCAGCATCGCAACATGGTCTTTCAAGTCATGGTCGACCATTGGAGTAGCCATTGCGCGTATATATGATGTAAAAAAACAATTTTTGTTGATATAAATGCATATGTGCATTAACTTTGATTTGTATCGTAGTATGTTGATATGTTGGTGTCTGCCAAGTTCCATGTTCTTCTATGTTAAAGTTATGTTTTCTTGAGACTAGCTTTGTTGACGCTGAAGCCATCTAGATAGCATTTCTTGAGGTTGGGTTTGCTGAGGCTAGGTTTCCGAAAGGCTAGATCATCCGCTAGGTCTTGTAGAGCTAGCTCTTC